TAAATCAATAAAACTGACAGGCATTAGGACAACACAATTTGTTGCTGCATATAGCACTTTAAAATAGTAACATAGTCCCAACGAACTTCACTGGAACATTATCAGACAAAAATTAACAGATAGCACTAGGACACATGACCAAACACTTGGTGAGAGAGGTAGGTTTTAAGGAGTATCTATCATACAAACATACATACGTACAAAACATTCGGCCTCTCGAGCCTGCTCCACCATTCAATAAGATCATAGCTGATCTGTTTGCGTTCTGTATTTCATATTCCCATCTAACCCCTGATAACCTCCCCTTGTCTAATAAGAATCTATCTACCTCCATCTTAAAAATAACAACTGCCTTCCACCACCTTGTGAGTCAGTGTTCCAAAGTCACAAAATCCTCAGAAAAAATTCTCATCTCTGTCTTAAAAGGGTGATCTCTAAATGAACAAAATGCTTGATTTGTTGATAATAAACTAATAAAACGCTTACACAGATACAAACACGCATAAAATGATGTCAAAATGACGAAGCAAGAAGAAAAACCTTTTGGTGTAGCACAGCTTAATGTAGCGACCAAAGACTGTCACTGCCAAATTAACTGATTGGGTCTGGGAAGAGGAGATTGTTAAATTACAAATCTATAACTTCCTAAATGGTATGTTAATTAAGGCATTTCGCACATGTCTTCAGCTATCCTGTGGTATAATATTCTCAGTTTATTAATCATCTACCAATAGATTCCCATCCATCAATGCCCTCTTCTAAACAATGGCAAAGAAGGACAGAGTATATCAGAAGGAAATATCTTCTTGGGACTTGTACTCTGTTTGACTCTATAGTTTGGAATTGACTTTCTTGGTGATTACAGCTCCATAGTGAATAGAAATGTTGAATATCAAGTCTACTGAAACCAATTGATCTTTTCCAGCTTGCTGAACTACTTCAACATAATTCACAGAATAAATGTGAAAAACAAATCCTCGAAGATAACCGTGAGCAGTTTTACAAGAATAAATGAGACACTATCATTGTCTCCAAAACATGCTGAAAATCCCAATAACCCACATCATAAAAACAGAATTCCCCATACTCAAAAATGTTATTACAACCAGAGAATTACAGGACGCAATCTCCAAAATAGAAATTAAAAAAGGTCCTAGAACTTTGTCTTAAAAATAGAATTGACTTTCCAGCAGAACATTGTTTTGATCAGAGTTTAACTGAAAATAGTCATAGTACTCTAACCAAATCAGTTTTCCTCCATCTAGTCTGCAGTTTATTCACATCCAAATGCTAAGAAACTTGAAAAGAAAGGTGAAACATTTACAGCACAGAGGCTGCCATGTGCTTCAGGGTTTCTGCCTCTGCCATTCTTTCAGGCAGAGTTCCAAACCCCTACCACCGAGGGTGAAAAATTCCTAAACTTCTCTCTAATCCCTGTGCCAATTATTTTAAATTGACACACCTCTGATTATTTTCTTCACTTTTTATTCACTCCATTTAGGACCCTCAATTTTATTCATCAATTAAATCTCCCTTCAGCCTCCTACTCCAATGACCGTACTCTACCTTTGCATTGAAAAAATATACTTCACATCGCAATAAATTTTGCACTGAATTATTTTTCTAAAATTTTGTTTGAGTTACTGTATACAATAGAAGTTGAGAATATTTTAAAAGATGCGAGTAAATGTTTTCTGAAGGTGTCTTGCTAAATCTCAAATTGCTTGCTGTTGCGTGGTCAGTTTAACCTGGTTGAGCCAAATTAAACAGGACTCACTAAACAGCTTTTGGGAAAGTCCAGTGGTTGCACTAAGCAAAACTTAATGGCATTTTCTCACAAAAAGTCAAAATGTCTCTCAACAAGACACCCACAAGTAGACAGCAGAACTCCACTGCCTCAATGTCTGTTACTACATGTCTTGTAAAATGTTTTAGTGAGAGCTCTGAAAGTTATATAAAAGTTTATTTCCAAATTTAGAACTTGGTTCCCTGATAACTTTGCTAATGCTAGGTAGCTGAGCCATTCAATTGAGAAATTCCCATAATCAATCTTCCATCTGGTGTTGGTTACTGATTTGACAAGTGGGCAGATTGCAAGTGGTTATATTGAATACAGACAATCAATAACCTAACATTAAGGGACATGAGAAATACAGGTTGTATTACTGGACCAATAATGCAGAGGCCTTGGTGTTAGTTCAAGTCTGATTTGGCAGTTTGAACATTTGAATCCACTTTTGAAAAGCTCGCATACCATGACATTTTTTCTTGTGAAAATTAATCTTTAATATCATCTTAGATTTGATTTTAAACATTTAGAAAAAGCAGATAATACAGAACCTTTACTAAAGTATTGTTTTGGTGTTAATTTCTTAATAGCTCCCACTGCATTCAGAAATTGTGAAAAGTTCATTCACAAATTTATGTGATAATGCAACATTACAGAATATTCCTCATGTAAATTCCAAAGATTTTTCTGACCAAAAGAGCATAACTATCCATCATAAAGCTTTCCAATGGCATGAAGCCACCTGAATCTTTGAACCAAACCACAAGAAAAATGAAATGCAAAGAAAAACTACTGCAGTCTTTCAACGAGTTTGCCAATGTCATCGTAAAACATCCACAAGTTGGATGCTCTTTGCGCTACATAAACATCAGACTTCAAAATATTCTTGCATTCTGAAACCTGCTTACAAAAATTACTTTGGCCTTTACTGACTGTGTCTGAACTTGAATTCTTCCTTTAGGATGGGATGGGATCTGTTGAGGTATTACAGTAAATAAGAATCCAGTCCTGATGAAGGGTTTTGGCCCAAAACATTGACTTTTCTGCTCCGCTGATGCTGTCTGACCTGCTGTGTTTGTTCAGCTCCAGATTTATTGACTCTGGCTTCCAGCATCTGCAGTCCTTACTGTCTTCTACTGAGTGTTCATTGGGTTTTCCTTAAATCACTTTGCAGGTAGAACTTAACTCAGGGTTCAGGTTAAGTAAAGCAGGGTGATTTTTAAAGTGAAAAAATGTATTTCGTGTATTGAATTTTTTGTTAAATTTAAATGTTAAGACTTCATATAACCAAGACCTGCTAATTCTGGTGACAGTTACTCCATTATAAACAGCTCTGGATTTAAGTTCAATAAAACTGCATTGGCCAGCTTGCATGATTTAATTTTTTTATATGATATGGCAAAGACACTCCGTAACAGTTCCTTTTTGCTCATTTTTTCTCTAAATTTGCATGACACTACAAATTCGATTCTCTTCCCCAACAAACCCCTGGATTTCGGGTATGAGGATATTCTAATATTCCTCTTACTTTAAACTCGAGTGTAGTTGGGACTCGGGGTGTGCGTGTGAAGTGAGTGCCGGGAGAAGCTCTGCTGATGTGCAGTCGGTTGGTGTTAGGAAGCGGGAGATAGCCCTTTCTCTCCCATGAAGGGTTCTGCTCCGGACTCAGGTGGGAGGCCTGCACAGGTCTCACAGCGCAGCGACAGCGACTGGACCGGAGGGTGGCCGCCAGGATCCCGATCCCAGTCACAATCCCAGCCCCCGGCCCCAGCCACCGACCCCCCGAGCTCCGGCCCCCGAGGCCCCAGCCCCGGTAACAAAGACCGAGCCTCACAACCTCAGACATTTTGTTTTTTACTCAGGATGCTGAGGGCTCTAACAGGCCGGGATAATAAATCCCGGTGCTGCTTCACCGTATCCTCTCCACACGCTTACCGGCTGGAGTACAATAAAATTAAAGCC